ATATAATTTTGTGCATGAAACAAAGTTTGTGTACATTGAAATATCAGAAAGCAAAGGTGCCACTCTCTCGGTCATTCGTTTAAAAAGTGTTGGGTTTTGGAATATTTTGGATTTTGCAGTTCTGGATAAGGGAGAGACTCAAGCTGCACTGATAAAACTGAAGTAAATTAAATATTTATGTGTGTTTGAGGAATTGTTTGTTAGCCGCCTTGATTGCCTGACAGGCAAAAGGCGGGATACAAAAATAAAGTTTACTTACTTTACTTAAGTAAATATAACAATTATTCTGGACATTAGGAGAGAAGGACTTGATAGAGCCTGGTCTGTCATTTTTAATCTTTTAGATCTACGACCTTTAACTATCCAATGGTTTCTACGCCATCATCATCACCATCACTAAATAATAATAATAATAATAATAATAATAATAATAATAATAATAATACAAGCATAAAGCACTTTGGTCAGTACCTAAATGGCATAGAAGGAAAAGATGAGAAGAGGAAAATCTGGAAGTGGCTACAGTCCAGTGGTCCATTCACACTACACAATTATAGCGCTATTATTCCACTTTAACTGCCATGACAACATCCTATGAAATCCTGGAGTTTTTAAGCATAGGAAGGGGAATATTCAGGATTCTGAGCCAGGGAGTCATAGTGCCTCATCAAACTACAAATTGCCCAGGAATCTATAGGATGGAGGTGTCTGGGAGTGCTTTGCAATCTAAATAGAAGAGCTGTTGTCCCTTTAAAAGATAACTTATAGGTTTTCCAAACTGTAAAGATCCTTTGACAGTAGGAAGGCATGGTGACTCCCAATTTTGGTGAAATTTGCTTGCTTTTTGTGTGCCTTCAAGTCATTTCCGACTTATGGCAACCCTAATGGGATTTTCTTGGCAAGAGTTGTTCAGAGGAGGTTAGCCACTGCCTTCCCCAGAGGCTGAGAGAGTGTGACTTGCCCAAGATCACCCAGTGAGTTTACACAGCCAAGCTGAGAATCGAATCTGAAATTACGGGCCCTAAAACCCCAAACCCAAATAGGTCTTGCATTAAAGGAATGCCCAGACCCTACAAGCCAGTCTCAGATGGTTTCAAATCCATCCATCTATCAGGCTTTCAAACATCATCTGAAAGCTATAATAGGAAAAAAATTGATCACGGTATTAAAACAGGGCAGTTGACCAATTTGCTGACCAGTCTAACAGGAGAGTGAGTTTTTGGCCCGCATCCATGTGTCGGTGGGATCCGAGTTAAAAATAAAACTGCGCCACGGTTTCCTTGGTGAATTCATGGCATGGGTATGGACAGGTCATTTCCTTGTAGCCCCAGTTTCTCATTTGTGAAACATGGAATAAAAGGAACCAATTTTGTGCATTTGACAGCAATTTCTTCTAAAGACAGATTTGGAGGAATCGTGTTTATAGCACTGTCCAAGATCTGGTTTCTGCAGATTGAAATGCTCTGAAAAGTCATGTAGTAAAACAGTCTTGTTCCAGGGATGTAAAATTTCTGGGAATGTTAAAAGTTCTGGGTGGGAAGGATGTTTTTGTTCTTGCAGACATTTTTTTAAAACAAATGCATTAGCACCTTTACAGAGTCAAAGTCACTATGTGGCTTGAGCAAAAATAAAATTCACTATGTTTTAACTTGATTTTGCATGAAGTATTCATGTCTGATATATTAAAATTTGTTTGGAAAATATAGGTTGAGTCTTCCTTATCCGAAATACTTGGGATCGGAAGCGTTTTGTATTTTGGAGTTTTTCAGAGTTTGGAATATTTGCGTATATAGGAGATGTCTTGGAGATGGGAGCCCAGTCTAAACATGAAATTGATTTGTATTTTGCATACATACACATAGCCTGAAGGTGATTTAACACAGTATTTTTAATAATTTTGTGCATGAAACAAAGTTTGTGTGCCATAAACCATCAGAAAGCAAAGGTGTCACTCTCTCAGCCAACCATGAAAAAAGTTTTGGATTTTGGAGCATTTTGGATTTTGGAATTCCAGATAAGAGAGACTCAATTTGTAACTACATAGTGTTATCCAAAAAATCTACCAGATACCTAGGGTTTTTAAAGAAATAATGTGGGACGAATAAATATAAGAACACTTTGTCTGCAGAAGTTTATTCATCATTCTAAAGGAAAATATTTCATAATCCATTTTTACCCAGTTTTTCCATGGTTTTTTTCCCCTTAATTTTTCTGTTTTCTTTTCTTCTGGGTCTTCACATCTCTGTTACATTTCACAGGCTGCTGCCTCCTTGGCCAATTCTCATGTTCATTGACTTGCAAGGAGCTTTACGGCGTTCTCAATCTCTCAATCCAGAAAGCAAGCATGGCGTAGTGGTTTGAGTGTCGGACTATGACTCTGGGGTCCAGGGTTCGAATCCTGGCTCTTGGAAACCCACAGGTTGATCTTGGACAAGTCATACTCTCTCAGTCTCAGAGGATGGCAATGGCAAAAATCCCTCTGATGAAATTTGCCAAGAAAACTCATGATAGGTTCACTGTAGGGTTGTCATAAGTCAGAAACGACTTGAAGGCGCACAACGACAATAACAAACCTCTCCAGAACGCCAACTGATGGCAGCAGAGGTGCAGCTGATTGAGATTAGGTGGTGGCGCAATGCCATGGCAAGTGAGTGGTTCCATTTTGCAAAGGCTCCCCTGTGTTAAAAACCATCAAGCCGAAAGTCAAGAAGCCTGAAAGCTAGGACCTCAGCTTTGGAGCAGACATAGCGACTGGGTTTACATCGGAAATAGGATATTCTTGGAATGCATCTCCCAGAATTCTTCATCATTAGCTGTGCCGGCGAAGACTGCTGGGAGCTAGAGTCCATTCTTTGCACCCGTGATTTAAATCCTTTCTCACTGCAGCGCAAAATTTATTTCGCATGCAAGGAATTGTTTGGTTTTAATACACGGTTGTCCCTCTGTATCCATGGATTATTTTTTTTAATGCACAGATTCAACTGTCCGTGGCATGAAAATATTAAAAAATAATATAAATTCCCAAAGCAAACCTTGACGTTGCCATTTTATATAAGGGACACAGTCTTACTATCCATTGTCTATAATGGGGCTTGAGCATCCATGGATTTTGGTATTCACAGGGGGTCCTGGAAGCAAATCCCAGCAGATATCAAGGGCCCAACTGTACAGTCAAAAAGGTGACCTTTGCAAACCTCTCCATCTGACTTAATTTGGCAGGGACAGTTCCATTTGATCCTCTGCCATCCCACTTCTTCAGCTGCTTTTAAAATGTCCCAGTTTCTTCTCCTCCTCCCACTTTCCCCTTTTCATCCTTCAGTTGCTGCAAACTGAGTTCAAAGTACAAAAGTAGTTTGCATTCAATTAATTCAATAGGGAGGAGATGAAGGGGCAGGATCATGCCCTTCCCAGTAAATTCAAGCAAAAGCAAACTGCTGCAGCCTCTCCTAACTTTATCTGTTCTTAATCATTAATAACTTTTGCCATCATGTTTCATCTGTGAAACATTGGAGCGTATACCTTTGTACTTTACAAATTCCTGCTCCTGCATTTCTAGGTTTGGCCAGTCATTTCTTCCAACATTCCCACTTTCTGCATTTGTTCTTTGAGCTTGGAGGAAATATACTTTTTATTATCATTTACAAAAAGTAATGCTTGGTTTATTTATAGCATGGTGGAGAGTAGGAACCTTTGGCCTTCCAGATCTTTTTGATTTCAACTCCCAGAAGCCTCATCCAGCAGAGCCAATGGTACAGGATTATGGGAGCTGTAGTCCAAAATCTTATTGTAGATCCCGTTTCAAAGCAATAATTTGAAAAATTGGGGGAGCGCCTTCCTTTGCACAACAGCTTTCTTTTTTTTTTCCAGAAAAAAAAAACTATGCAAGAAGTCGAGATCTATCAGATCTACCTTTGAAAGGAGTAAGGGACGTGTTGTTAGCCAATAGATTCAAGTGATGGATAATGGGAGTTGTAGTCAAACAACATCAGATGGGCCATGCAGTCCCCACTCCTGTCCAATAGCCAGGGAATGGCATCCCTTTTTCCCTTCCTTTTGGGGTATCTGATATGGATATTAAATGATTTTCTTGGGATTTATGTGCTTTAATTTAATTTGACTGCACTATGTGTTTTTCATCCGAATGTAGCTTTCTGTTTCACTTCTAAATTTCTGTTGTGTTGGGGGGATTATTTGGGTTATATTTCCCTTTTTTAAAAAAATAAAAACTGTTATGGTTATTAATATTATTATTATTATTATTCCTAAGGAAAGCACAGTGGTTTCTCAACATTTGCCCCCTTTGTGGGTGACAATGATGTGTAACTTATTGTATTATTATTATTATTATTATTATTATTATTATTATTATTATTATTATTATTTCCTGATTTTAAAGTACAAAACACTAAACTTTAAGATCCTAGCTCCCCTGGGGGAGGGATGCTTTTTAAAAAAATGAAAATAAATAATACCAAATTTAAAAAAAAACCACCTGTAGTGGAAAACGAATGATTATTTATTTTAAAAATAGTATTACAGTTTCAAAGTTTTTTGTTTGCTCTTTTAATTCCTGGGGTAACATGGTTGCAGTTCTACAGAAACATTGAAATCAGGACAATTTCATGGAAACAACCTACTAGGGTTGCCAACATTTTAGCCAACTTCTGCTCCTGTACAAAATAGCGTAGTGGTTTGAGTGTTGGACTGTTGAACTCTGGAGCCCAGGGTTCGAATTCCTGCTCAGCCATGGGAACCCACTGGGTGACCTTGGGCAAGTCACACTCTCTCAGCCTCAGAGGATGGCAATGGCAAACCACCTCTGAACAAATCTTGCCAAGACAAACCCCACGATAGGGTCGCCGTGAGTCAGAAACGACTTGAAGGCACGCGACAACAACCAAAGTAAAGGACATGGCACACATAGTAGGTGAACATGGTGCAAAACACGTCGATTCCTTCCAATGCGGCTGCTGCGGCTAGAAAAATTTAGACAGGGCAACCCATTTCGTCCTGGTCAGTTGGCAACCAGGGAGGGCTCTGTTGAAACGAAGACTGGCACCATTGACCCTGGCACAGAAATAGGGAATATATGTCTCATGCGCCACATGAGACCCATGCACCTGGGGCCTTATACACATAGCCCAAAAGTAATTTTATACACAATATTTTAAAAAAAAATAATTTTGTGCACATCATCATTTTGACACCCCCTTCAAAAGGCTTTCGCTCCCTCCCATTGAATCCTGGGGATCTGTAGTTTTTACACAGTCGGCCGCCTTCCCTGCCAAACTACAAATCCCATGATAGTGTAGCCATGGCAATTAAAAAGCGGTGTCACAACCACACCAGTAAAAGAGTTTACTGGTCTCAAATGGTGCAATCAAACTGGGCCGGTCCTGGTGTCCCTTTTTATTTGAATTCTTTGCCGAAAGGAAGGTGACCTTGCGACGCTACGTTTCCTTGAACAGCCCTATTAATTGTCAATGAGTGACAAAACAGTCCCTCCTTTTTGGAAAGGATTGCCAGGGAAATGCCAGTCTACCCAGGCTCTCCAGGCCCACAAATAGCAATATTTATGAAGGCTCAGCTGGCCCAAAAATGAAATAAATGCCCCAGTTTCCTCTTTCCAGGCCAAACGTTTTATTAACCACATGCAAATGTTAAATGATCAAGGTGTATTATAAATTATTTACAAGAGCCAACACAGTGTGGCGGTTTGGGTGTTGCAGACCAGGGTTCGAATCCTGGCTCGGCCATGGATGGCACTATTGCAGAATGGCAATGACAGCCGTACCGTTATTTCATAGCCAGGATGGCACAGTGGTTTGAACCTTGGACTAGGACTCTGGAGACCAGGGTTCGATTCCCAGCTTGGCCATGAAACCCACTGGGGGGCCTTGGGCAAGTCACACTCTCTCAGCCTCAGAGGAAGGCAATGGCAAACCCTCTCTGCACAAATCTTGCCAAGAAAAGCCCATGATAAGGTTGCCATGATAGGATTGCCATAAGTTGGAAACAACTTGAAGGCACACAACAGTAACAACAACATAAATTATTTGTACAGGTTGAGCCTCCTTTATCCAAAATGCTTGGGACCAGAAGTGTTCTGGATTTTGGAATATTTGCACATCTCATATATATATATATATATATATATATATATATATCAT